CAGTAACAAACTTTGAATTTAGAGAGCGCGATACATGTTACAATCAGAGTAACCCAAGTGGTGATATCGAGGCCGAAGAATAAGATTTTAGTGCAACCAAACGAAACAGTTGTTTAAGTACTGCAGTTCTGTTGACTTTCCGTAAAACATTTAGGAATATGGCTTGCTGTTTGAAACAAAGGTAGTTTCAGGGTTACTATCTGGTCCGCCCTAACCGTGAGGGGTTCAATCTCTCAAGAACTAGCTCTCCGAAAAGATCTAGTTCCTCCTATTTTGATGAAGACAAAGTTTGCTTTGCATTTGATTGTGACTTAATTTATTCTGGAACTACGAAATGGGGGGGGGTATTTTTACTCTTGGCCTTGTTCCGGATTTGTCTCGGGTGAAAAGTCAGTATCTGAGCAGGTCTGCCTCATCTTATTTGACATATATCTTCACTAATGATTTAAATAAACTCCATCTCATGTCATATTCCATTGGCTTCAGATCGCTCTGATGTTTACATCAAGGCTGTCAAATTCTCCCAGTTTCTGGTCTTCCCTCAAAGATAGGGGTCTATTTTCAGTATTTAGTTACTCAAAACACAGTTTTTATTAAATATATAGTGCTCATTGACCTAACGAACATGGTAACTTTTAATTGAAAATGGACATATTTACTGACAGTTTTGTAGATTTTCATGAAAGAGATGGGAACGATTTTTAACTTAATTTCAAGGTTCATAACACAGGTCTTATCAAAAGAGTTATTTTAACTGAATTACACGACCCTATCTGCGAATATGACAACACCTTGAGTAAAAAAAGTCATACGTAAGCTGCCGCTTTATGACAGCTGACAGATAAAACAAAGTTGCTTTTCCTCGAAACTTTCGCGTCATTATTCTTGACATTTTAAGTAGCTAGGCGAAGCGACATCCTGATTTTCATCCTCATCACATTAAGTTTATATTGACATCTAAACATACGAGTAATCAGTATTTCTCCCGGTACGTATTAAGATTGTGGGTAAACGATAACCTACCACTGTTGCCCTATATGGGCTCTTTCATTTGTAAGGCATTTTGTTTTCTTTCTTTCACAAGGTATATCAAACCGGGATCCAGTTTTTATTCCACTTAAATAATATCCTGATTACCCGTACAAAATTTTATAGCATTTAGTCACAAGAAGTAACTTTACGTAGACTCATTTATTGGCAGTCTAATCTTAAAGTTAGGGGCTGAACAGACGGACTGCGTCGTTAAAATTTCAACCCACATCTAATATGTAAATTAATGTAGCTAACTCACTGTAGTCTATTTATTTGGAGGAGCGACAAAGACGGTACATACTGAACAATAATTATAGAGGAACAGCACTAAATCCTAGTGGCACGAATATACCTAACCTCAAGGCATTTTCCACCAGATTTTGAATGGTTGAAGAAAAATGTTGAAGACCGATAAAGTCCAATGCTTTAATATCATGTGGACTAAATAGAGGAGAACTGTAGATATGGTCATATTATGCATGTCTTCCACCATAAGTTGAATATCATATTTCAACCGTCGTTCAAAAAGTCCTGGAAGACTGAAAAGTCAGACCTGAAGTATCAAACAGAACAGGGACGATGATGGTATGAAGTTGACGTGTAATCATATAGGTTAGATATCATATCATGGTCACTTGATTGTATTATTCTAGGACTAATTATCCGGTAGTATAAACCAGCTCATTAGCGACTATCATAATTCTAAATTATGCAGTACAACGAATAAACCAATCGGAATTTGGCTACTTTTGTAATACTTCATTGTTACGCAATTTGTAGATTAACAAATATCCAAAGTGACAGCAAAATAAGTTTAACCTGGTAGACTTTCAACTGAGTTATAACTGGCTGGTTAGTTCCTATTGATCGTTAAATGCACACACGTTCATTTGTAAGCTAAGAGACAAACGAACAGAGTGTTATTTCAGCGTTACATGGGGATGTTTTGTTACCATCAAGTCAACATAGTCCCACGGAAACGACAGTATTTTGAACTACTTTGATAAATATTCTTTAAAAAAGACTTCTGATTTAGTGATAATTACATTTTAATTCCTCCGCTCGTAATTTGGATACGGCTAATAACTGAGATGATAAGTTAACCTGACGTAGCTGAACTAGAAGAAACGAAATCAAGTGCGCTAATACTGGTTACACTGCACGCTTGAATAGCCAGAATTAAATATAGATAAAAAGAAGTCTTATGTGCACAAAACACAAGAGGCAAGCACTTGATCCCAGAGATCAATGTTAATTATAAGGTGGAGAGAGAGTTAGTTTCGCTAGAAATGTTAATCGTAGGGATATCTTCGCACAAAATGTGTTACAACTGTTACGATCAACATCCGTTAGGTTCCACGTTTGTCGAAACTATGTAGCGTATTGAGTAGTCGACGATTATGATACTTCACATGGCTCCAGCTTTACACAGTTCAAACATTGTGTACAGTCTGTTAATACTTATTTGAGGAAAAAAATGGATTTGATGAGGAGTTTGCTAACCTTGAATAGGTTTTCGTTTGTAATCCCCTGTCTTTTGTTTATAAGTTAGATGAAAAACACTTAGGTCTTATTATCATAATCATCAGAATCCCTAGCAGTGATAAGTTGATTGTTAGAGAACGGACACATTCATAAGACACTGGAGGTATGCTATCTTCAGTCACTCAATAGTAAACTTCAAATATAATCAAAAATAATAACTTTCAATATTCCAGTAGGTGAACTGTTTATTTAACGTCAATGATTTATTCACTTATAGTTGATGAAAATGTTATTTAAAAAGACACCAACAGACGGTTGAAAATTAATTTAGTTATTAAAAAAGGTATATATATATTTATATATTACAGCTGCTCATTTAACACTGATATTATTACTATTTCATTCCGTTATTTTTAAAATAAAATTAAAATTTTAACTCTTCAGGGAAATTATTACTTAAAAAACAGTAGAAAGTCACAATGAGTAATCAATGCAAAGTGATAAACTTAAACATTTTAAAGAAAACGTTTTAATACAATACAACAAGTGAATTCAGTTGTTTATTTATTCCGTTTCTTTAAAATAATATCGATGAATGTGTATTTTTATTTTTTACTTTTTTTCATTTGTGATATATTCTTCTTCTTACTTTTACTTGTATTTCAGTAGAATAAAAATCACAACTAAAATTTTAACTGAAGAAAATTCTTTGTAAAACTATTTTACTGGTAATCAGACAATTTAAATAGTGGAATAAATATTGCAATTTGATAGACTAATTAATGTTTCGAATGCATAAAGTAGCCTACTTTATACTTCTATATGAAGGAGTTGATTTTGTTAAGAACTATGATGAAAGCCACATAATTAAATCATAATGTAGTGAACAAAAACACAAGTGGGGGACAATCGAATGTATTTGACAAGAAATTACAGAGCATCTCACTAAGATCTGAGAACTATATAGTAAATAGTTAATTTGACTCTTCCTTTGCAAATATCAGTTAATCATCTCAAATTTCATTGTTCATGCATTTTCATACCAATTGCGTTCCGTTGCCGTTCTTTTCTTCTCGATCTTCCACTGAAATACCTTCTATGTCTGACCACTGTTATATACTACTTATATGGATATAAGTAACCCACACCACAATATAGCTCAAAGAACGTAATATTACCAAATACTTTTGTTGAAAATAAATAAACTGAATTTAATAAACGCTGAATAATAATTTGGAATTTGATGTTTGTACCAAAAGAATTATAAATAATTGGTGTATTGTTTATGTATACAAGTAAAAATGAACAAAATGATGAGACATCATGGTCAGATTGCGTTATGTTATGAAGGAGAAGATGAATACTAGCAAACTGGAACGAATTTCATTCTTGTTCAGTACTGCTTTATCATGATTTTTTTGTTGTTATAGCAATTAGAAGAAATTTAAATTTCAGAGACTACAATTAGTATGGCCCGTGTTATGTAACTATTAGGATTTTTCTTAAATAGCTTATAACAGATTGAAGTGGCAATAAGTTTCTGTGTAGAAACGATTATTTGTTGAGTTTATTTGTGCAGACGAATCTATAGCTAAATCACTGATACATGAAGTATGTGATTACATAAGCTGATATCAGTTCATAATAAGGCACTACTAAATGACGCATGATCCCAAAATGTTCATTCGTATAACAATCAGTCAACTTAGCTCATACACTTCTTAACATATCGGCGACCTCCCAAATATATCCCCGAACTTCCTCATTCTTCACTTCTTTTTCGGTTGTTTTTGTGATGCTCGATCATAAAGGTGCTATGGATAACAGCGCTGTCATACCTGAATATTCGCGGTATCCTTTTATGATTCATAGAATGACTTCAAGTACAAATACACTAAGGTAAACATGGAGAATATGAGCAGTATGCCAGAAACTTATCTTTACATTCAGTGCACTTTAATTGTCAGTCATTTATCATTAAGTGAAAGTCCTCTTGCTAACAAAACTCAGGGAAAGCTGAAGAGACGCTTCACTTCCAATAACAAAACGCAATAACTTCTGAAGAGCCCTGCGGACTATTTACTCCCTCGTTATTTATATCCATCACACGTGAAAGTCTAAATTTCAGATGACAGAAGCTTCTTCTCGGGTAAACCCTGAGTGAAATAACTTACCAAAACCATATCCATAACCATATGGTAAGTTTTTTTAATCCTCATTTGTATTATATCAACAGATATGCTACAAAATCGCGGACACGTTTCCTATTTCTTAGTTCAGGTGCAACTTCAAGTCCTGATCACACAAATCGCGAACGAATTTTTAATAAGGAATTCAACTGTCGTTGGTTTATGAATATCAGGTTTAAGACCCACTTGTGGATGGAAGAATAATGTAGTTATATGGCATACCTGTAGTCAAAAAGACATACAATCCACCCAGACGTTCTTCAAAGAACCTAATAATTTCTGATAATACTCATAATGCCGGGTAATTGACAACAAGCTAGTGTTTGCCCGAACTCAAAGTTACAACGTGAAGTGGATGATCACTGAAAACCTTTGGCGCCTTCTGGAAACGCGATTTCGGATCCTTTCAAATGCATATTTGATCCCAATATGTTGGTAATAATGTTATTGATTGATCGTGCGATCTACTCCTAAAATTGTCCAACCAGTCAGATAATAACACTGAAATACATAATGCAATCTTACTTCCAAACAAAAAGTTCTCCAACTTCAACGTCAAGACCTGGGAAGACTATCACGGTTCGAGATGATTCTCCCATATTTATTAACCTTAATGACGACTCTGACCTTCCTCTCAGTCGACAGGACAAAAATGTCAGGATAGCCAGGTAAGAGTTAATCAGAAAGCTCAAAATTCCATAAATTTGGCGGCTAAATATCACAGGGTTTATCCGTGTAAACAAGTCCTAGCGTCAAAATCATCCAGGACTCCTTCGTGTAGCGTTCACCAACACTACTCATGTAGAGGATGTCCTGCTGGTCAGTCATTTGCTGAGACCAGATGTAAGGATACCGCCTAATGAATCATATTCTGAGAAGAATCTAATGAGAAACATCCACCAGAGAACCTCTTGAGACGTACTTTCTTTAAAAAATATCATTATGCAAGGTGTCCCAGAAACACAACAACCCTGAATTCACAGACTATGATATTCTATAGTATGATTTCACAAAGCAGTGCTTGAAGATCCAGAACATACTGACTGCATAAGTGGTTAGACTGGCCGAGGAGGACGGGAATTCTAGACCGCGGTTAGTGAAGATGACCTTTCCATCCTCGCGAACGACGACAGCCTTTTCGCGTCAATAGACCCCATTTACCAACGAAAAGCCATGTGCATCAAAACAGACCAATTAGTGCAGAAATTAAGCATATAATGGAATCAGAAGTAACTATTACGCTTGTGGACTGTCAAGATCAGGGAAAAAACGTAGCGGAGACAGAAACTACCAACTTGGGAAACCCTGTGTAAGTAGGTTGCCTGGCAATCCACGTTAAGCTTATTCAGCTGAACAGGACAAGGAAGTTCACGCGTTTCAAATCCGAAGCGAAACTGCATATATACGAACGCAACAAGTTCACCGAACGAAATGGATGAGCTGCATGAATTAAGTGATGCTAACAATGCTCACGCTTAGATTGCGTTTTTACAAACGAAGGATTCATGAGTGGCAACATCCCAATCCCATGTCCTCTGTGAAAAAGTAGTCGGGTCGTTACAGGCTTCAGTTTTACTACTGAAATTACGTTAAAATATCTTATTGACAATAGATGTTGAAATTCAAACGGACCGATGCGTATGCTTTACCGGACAATCTACGGCAGGTAGACGGAGATGCCTACCCTCAACTTGATGAAGACGCTCATTCCGATTTCTCACTGCACACAAACTTGTATGTTACAAAATACTCTGTCTCACAAATGGTCCTCAAATGTTGCAGGCAACGTACAGCCACAAAGAATCGCACTCTTAGAATGCTAAGGCACAAACGGCACAACTAAGTCGAATATAAATGAACTAGTGACAACAGCAAATATGAGGCAATTCGAGAAAAGTGATGAACCAATATACGAAGACAGTAGAAGAAGACGGGCTTTGGCATCAGACAAATCTAATCGACAAGTCGAGGCACGGTACCGGAAAACTAAAAGCTCGTTGACACGGCACCAATTTTTGAAGGAGGCTTACGTGACTACTTACTAGCCATGAACATCCTTTCACACCAACAACACGGTTTCAGAAAGAAGCATTCTTTTATAACCAACCCGCCGATCGCAGTGGACAGATGGACAACCATCCTTTGTCGCAAGAGGAAGGTTGACTTCATATTCCTTGACTTCTCTAAAACTTTCGATATGGTCAGTCATATGTGTCTTATCAGTGAGCTTAAATGGTAAGGTACCAAGCCACCGTCATTTGTTTGGCCTACTCCACATCTAAATGGTCTACCTTTCAGGGTCGGGGTAACTCCACTTTTTCTCAGGCTGTGAAGTGTCTTAGTGAGGTTCCCCATGTTTCAGTATTAGTATTTCTTCTTTTCTTTTTTTTTTTTAAGGACTAAGGACAGTATCTTACTGTAGTTTACTAATATTTTCCTCTTTTATCGCTGAATATATTTAAGCTCTTACCAGGAGACGTCGGTGATTCCCTGCCACTAGATATAGGAACACACTAAACTAAAGCGTCTTCTATTTCTATGTGAACTATTTGAAGAGTTGTTAAAGTTATCGTTTTTGGCGCACAAATCAACATTTATTGTCTGGCGGGTTGGTCGCTTGTTGACTTTTGTAGATGATTAAACCATATGATTCTATTTATGATCCCAAGATTGTCGTAATCTGAGGCTTATGTCTATGTTGACTGATTATTATTGTTTTCCGTAGTGAGTGTAATTGCACTGCTTGCACATCCGAAATCGTTGACACACGTTTTTCTATGTTCTCTCCAACCCACCTCAATCTCCCTCCTACTTATTCCCGGAATTCTCAAAACATATTATAGCTAGACGCGAACCTTCACAATTTGCAATAGTTTTTAAGGGTGCGTGTTCGTGTGATGTTATCTTGCTTATGGTCAATATATCTGTGTAATCGCAGGCTAACCTAAATGACTGCTCATCTACCCTGTCTCTGTAGAAAAGTGGTGATTTTATTGTAAGAAGTCTTAATTTATAACGCACAGTAAGTGACTTCGAATCTGATGATGCCGATATGCTACGCCCAAGTGTTTAGATAATTCTACGAGTGCGCAAATATACGTACAGTTGGTTGAAACAACACATTTAGCAGTTTTTAGTTAAGCTACGTCGAAGTTATTCAGTCGAATTGCTATCCGGAAAGTCGCTCATTTGTGACTACAAGCGTTCACGAATTATAACTCAACAGGGTTACTTTGAAAGTACGCCAATTGCTGTATATGCTAAACCATAACCTACTGTAACAGTGTAGTGTGCTTCATTGATTATCACAATGTATTCAGCCAATATACTTTTGTAGCTTGGTATGGAAGCAGTTATAGTGTAATAGTAGCACGTCATGTAGCGGTTCTCAAAGATGCCCCAATCTCCCTATTTTGGAGGAATTTCGGGGGTTTTGTGCCATTTCCCCAAATTTTTCTGTAGCAGCTTCAAACTTTCCCCAAAACGGACAACATTCTTTCCAAAATAGGGAGCTTTGCGTATCCCATCCTGATTAGCCACTTTTGCATTCAAGCAATGTCAGCCAAGACGTGCTTCCATGATTTCAGCTTCAGCCAATACCTTGCTTATGATTAGAAAAGCAGCAGTACACTACTACAGAACTAAGTTAGCTGCTAAATGAGGGGAACGTAAGTTTCAGTAATTTATGAACGTGACTCAAAGCCAATAGAATGTAGGTCTAATTCCCGTTCCCATTTCTTCGTTTTCAGTTGTCTAGCACTACCCTTAAGGCCCATACAATCTTAGTAGATCTAAACGTTTCCCGTGGTCAAGCTCCAAGTTGTATGGTATAGTCATTGAGTAAGGTTTTACGTCATTAGATGGATAAAAGTTGTATGGATTAAGTGGTTTTCTATGTCCAGATCTTCTAAATTAGTCCATTCACCTTGAATTAATAGTTTGTCTTGTATATTATGTAGATGGATCCAGCTCAAGAACCTAACTCAGGGATACATACAAACAATGTCCAGGTAAGTTTACCACGCATTTTCTGTTAAGTATTGATTAATGCTGATCTTTGATTTAACGTGCCATTAACTTTTTTCAACTTATCGCAACGTTGTTATTAGTCCCTAACTTACTATGTCGTCAAATTTCTGGTCCCGATTAGTTCGAAGCCTGAGTGTCACATGTGTTTCAATTTTTTGTCCAGAACTTGCGTGGCTAATTTAGACCAATTATTATGAAAGCGAACAAATCAAAATATATCATCTCATGAAGCCGCAAATAGCTTTGCAACTAAATCGAAGTAAACGAAATAAATTCTTAAGATGGTCGAGGCACACGGGTTGAGAGTTCGATTATCTAAACGGGCTTCGCGGAGGTCGTGTCAATCGTTAGGTTGTTTTCGTCACACGGTATCACAAAAAGCCTCAGCACTAGACATGTTTCGTCCTAGTATGGTATCGCTTGGTAGTGTTCACCCCCAATTTGCTCGTTGGGTGATAGTCCATTAATTAGTTTCAACAAGAGCAGTCATAAGATTAACTCATCCTCAGAGTGCTTTGTTGGGCCCATATATTCGTTTGTGGGATCCACGTATTTCAGTGTTAGTATGTAAGGAAGTTTATCTGTCCATTAAACAAATAGGTTTGATAAAATACTGGGTTTCGTAACAACAGCATCTTGACTCTTTCTTGAGAATAAACCCATTTATCTCTTAACAAGTGTATCTTCCTCAAAGCTTGCTAATTTCGTCCGAATTAACTCGCATTTTGTCGAAGGAAGTCAATGAAACGCGTTCACATGCGTTTTTATTAGAAGCTAAAGGCCCATTGAAACAATGACGCAATTTATAAAATGGAGCTGGGTTCGGATCCAACCAACGACTTGTTTATCCTGCATTTTAAATAAATTCCGGACCATTGATATTGACTAATATTTTTGCTATTTATTTGTAGTTTTACATTTCTTGTCCCAGAAGTTTGAATTTTTTCCAAGTCACGGATCAAAGATTCACGTATCTGACCTTGAGTAGTACTTTTTAGTGTAGTGTAATTCTCATCCCAGTTACAGATTTACGTATTTGCTTGGATTGTAGAGGCTAGCAATGCTACGCGGCAACTGAAACTGAAGTATTCGGATGAAGTTTTCACCTGCTACTAAGTATTTCATGTAGCTGAAAACGTCACATAAACATGAGCTTGATAATTACTAGATAACATTAGCTGACACTGAGTCGTTAATGTTCCAGTGTCAATTCTTGTCTTTTGTCGTTTCTGCCTACGATTAAAAGCTCCAATAGGTTTAATCTAAAGCGAGTTTCCGCTTTTACTGTAATAGAAGTGTAGAATATCGAAATCTAGATCATGATTTAGGTATTTGTTATAATCTCTTTCTTACGGTTATGACCCAGCTATTCCTATTGCTTAGTATTCTCGGACACCGATTCACTCGACAAGTCCCCAAATCAGAACACGGTTGAACAGGAAGAGAGATTATATTCCAAATAACAAGGTTAGATGGAAGTAAGATGCCAGTAAAAAGCACAATAGAGAAAACGTCAGTATATTTATAGTTTTTACATGAGAAGATTCTAGAGTATTCTCCAACTATCGGCTAGTGCTGATTGGATAAGAATTAGCCTATCAGCGTGCACGAAAGCAATCATGCATTGAGCATGCTTTAATCCATCCTATGTCCCGCTAACAGTATTGTAGATCATATATATATTACGACATAGATGTGCTGCTATAACTTTGTTATCCGTTACTGCAATCGAATCATTCCTCATACACATTTTGTACTTATGAATAATTGTCCGACTGTTTCTGTTTCATTTTTAGGGAGCACTTCGGCAGCTTGATTTATTGGTCGAAAAGGCGGAGCTCTATGCTCAAGTGAAACTTATTGGTTCTGGAACAAAAGATCTGTCTAGTCCATCAAGAATTAAACAAGAGCAGCCCATTAGTTCTCCTACTTCCTACTCTTTTGGAGAGTAAGTTGTACTATTATTATCCGAAGTATTGTTTATTCAGCCATCGACATCGTCGTACTGAAAAAGAAGAAGATGAAGAACTATTGACCGAAACTAAGCATAGTTCATCTGGTATTCAGCGTTTCGAAGCTTCTCCGTGGTGTAAGTAATAATTTATTACCCGCATTTTCTACATTTCAGATGTAAAGGGAGGAGAGATGCGTGATTATCAAATCCGTGGTCTAAATTGGATGATTCAGCTCCATCATAGTAGTATAAATGGAATTTTAGCCGATGAGATGGGATTAGGGAAAACTTTACAAACAATATCATTACTTGGTTATATAAAACACTGTCGACACAAACATGGGCCACATATGGTAATTGTGCCTAAATCTACGCTGTCCAATTGGATGAATGAATTCGCTCGTTGGGTTCCTTCTTTGCGCACAGTTTCATTAATTGGAAACCATGAAGAAAGGGTAAATACCACTATTACTGGGTTACTTGTTTTTCTTGTTTCTAGAGTCAAAAAATACAAGAGGAGATATTGAAAAAGGAATGGGATGTTATTGTCACAAGTTACGAAATGTGTATTAAAGAGAAGGCGGTTCTGAAAAAATTTCACTTTATATATTTAATAATCGATGAAGCCCACCGAATTAAAAATGAAAAGTCGAAATTGTCAGAAATTGTCCGGGATTTTCGCTCTCAAAACCGTCTCTTGATTACCGGTACACCTTTGCAAAATAATTTACATGAATTATGGGCTTTATTAAATTTCCTAATGCCGGATTTATTTTCTTCATCTGAAATGTTTGATGATATGTTCAAAACGGGTAATGATCAAGAAGAGAGTTTAGTTCAACGTCTACATGCAGTTTTAAAACCATTTTTGTTAAGACGAATTAAAGCTGATGTGGAGAAACGTTTACCACCAAAAAAGGAGTGCAAGATTTATATTGGTCTTAGCAAAATGCAACGTGATTTGTACACCAAGATTTTAATGAAAGATATTGATGTGGTGAACTCTGTAGGGAATAAAGTGGATCGTCTTCGCCTACTAAATATTCTCATGCAACTTCGTAAATGCTGTAATCATCCTTACTTATTCGATGGGCTAGAACCAGGCCCTCCGTATACAACGGACCGTCATCTTGTTGATAATTGTGGAAAGCTGATGTTACTGGATAAACTGTTGCCGAAACTTAAAGAACAAGGATCACGAGTCCTTTTATTTTGTCAAATGACGCGAATGATGGACATTCTTGAAGACTATTGTTTGTGGCGCGGCCATGAGTACTTTAGACTAGACGGATCCACACCTCATGAAGAACGCCAGGTCAGTATTTCACCGCACCAACAGTAAGAAATTTTTTTATCGTCAGCTTGTAAAATAAATATAATAGTTTTTAGATATCTAAGATTTAATTTATGGTTAGGAAACAACCTCTAAGGATAATATATATATATATATATATATATATATTCGTTCGTAAATATCCCTTAAGCTTCATTCGCACATAGTGAAATCACGAGGTAACTAATGTTGAGGGTTGGCTGAGACATTTGTTTCTCATACCTAGCCACTGCTTACCTTGGCGTACAGTGCTGCATGACATAAGAGCACATCGAAGGAAATCCGGGGGGACAGAATTGGACTTAGTATCGTTTCATGAAGCCACAGACTTTTGTTCATAGTAGTGTTGGTAGGTGTAGAATCCCTAGTTCGACCCCACCTGGTTATCATAACCACTGTTTAAGGCCATTGATTAGCATGGCAAAGATATTCATTTTTCATCTTCATACAAATCTAGGGTTTCACCGTTATATCGTACTTTGTGCTTTCTAACTCAATTTCTACTTTAGGATACACTTTCACTGCTGAATCCCTAAAATCTGGCTGGTTTTCGTTCAGACTGTAAATGTATTGGTCATTTCTCCATCTCACCCGAATCCTCGAGTATTTTCACATTTTATGTTGACCTGTTTTTCATGTTAATGTGCTGTTAACGTCCTTGACAGAGGCCACTTACTCCATAGTTTACATGTCCTTGGTGGCTTTTCAGCCTAGTAAAACATTTTTACTGTGGTTTTTCACTACCAGTCAGGTAACAAAATGATAAATTCTTCTTGTTCCTCAAGTTCGGTTCATATATGTGTATCCATCGATGTTATCAACTGTGTCACTCTTGGTGCGCTTGATTACTTTCGATATTTGGATCCACTAACAAATGTCACAAGACAGTTTTACTAGCCGTTATAAGGAAAGGATCAATCTTATTACTAACATATGGTCTTGTTATTATTAATTACTCTTGAAATAAGTCTGTGAGAACTCATTATCTTTAAAGTCTCGAACATTTCATCCTTATTTCCAGACTATCGTTTACATTCCTATCCCCATAGTCTTGACCCCGTATGTGTATAACTATGAAAACCTACATTTAATACTCTATTTCTTTTTGCATATTTTTTCATCTCTAATTATAATTTAGATTTCAATTGATGAATACAATCGTCCAGGTTCCACCAAGTTTCTTTTTATGCTTTCTACAAGGGCTGGTGGTTTGGGTATCAATTTGGCCACAGCCGACGTAGTTATCATCTATGACTCAGACTGGAATCCTCAAGTTGACCTTCAGGCCATGGATAGAGCACATCGTATCGGACAAACCAAAACTGTACGCGTTTTTCGATTAATTACAGAACATACAGTTGAGGAACGTATTATTATGCGTGCTGAGATGAAGCTCAAATTGGATAACTTGGTTATTCAACAAGGTGATCTATAAATATGTAACCATCCGTTTTAAACTATGACTTCATGTACCATTAAAGATGGACTTACTGTTACTCCAGATTATGTTACAGTCACTTACAATAGTTACTGAAATTCCAACCAATTATGTATCGTGCTGAAATTATCATATCTAATGCTTACCGCAGTCTCGTACCTAATCGCTATGAAACCTGTAGGCGGTATAAATCCTACACAAGTCGGTGTCCCGGATCACGGTCCATACATTTTCGAATCCGAAATTTACCTGACTATTTCAAAATAAAGTATATCTAGCAGATTTAAAATAATGACAGTTAGTAGTTCAAAATGCCTAAGCAATTTTGTGTATAATGACACCACTATTTAGCACTAAGAAATAATACGGATGCTCTTGAGCACAATAGCCGACTACTGATTCTCGTAGGTACACTTAGGGATTTTAATAGGTTTGTTTGTTACGTTCCTTTAAAATATAAGATCTGTTCAGCACATTCGTATTTGAAATGTCAGTATTAATTGAATACTGAGTAATAGGTCAGTGAAACTTTGTAGGTCAGGTAAATTCTTTCTTCTCACAATATGGACCCTAATTAGCAGTGATCAAATGATTGTTCATCGATGATGCTTCCTAGGTATGTGAAGGACTCTACATTTTCCAGAGTTTCGCCATCAAGAGTGATTGGATTGTTGTTTTCTGCCTTGAATTTGAGGACTTTGGTTTTCCCTTTGTGTATGCTGAGGCCTACTGATGCAGAGACTGCTGCTACACTGGCTGTCTTCATCTGCATCTGTTCGTGTGTACGTGATAGGAGGGCTAGGTCACCTGCAAAGTCCAAATCGTCTAATTGATTTCGAGCTGTCCATTGAATTCCGTGTTTTCCTTCAGATATCGAGGCCTTCATAATCCAGTCGACCACCAGAAGAAAGAGGAAGGGAGAGAGTAAACAGTCTTGTCTGACTCCGGTCCTTACTTGGAATGCATCTGTCAGCTGTCCTCCATGCACGACTTTGCACTGTAGTCCGTCGTATGAGTTCCGGATAATGTTGACAATCTTCTCCGGAACTCCGTAGTGTCGAAGAAGTTTCCATAATGTCCTCCTATCTACACTGTCGAATGCTTTTTCATAATCAATGAAGTTGATGTATAGTGATGAGTTCCACTCAACTGATTGTTTGACGATGATCCGTAGTGTTGCAATTTGGTCTGTGCATGATCGATCCTTACGGAATCCAGCTTGTTGATCTCGAAGTTGGGCGTCTACTGCATCTTTCATCCAGTTCAGCAACACTCTGTTGAAGACTTTCCCTGGTATTGACAACAGTGTAATGCCTCTATAGTTCTCACATTTGCTCAGATCTCCTTTCTTTGGAATCTTGATGAGGTGTCCTTCTTTCCAGTCCATCGGCACTTGTTCCTCTTCCCAAATCTTTTTGAATAGAAGGTAAAGCATGTTTGTAGTTGCTTCGATGTCTGACTTCAGTGCTTCAGCTGGTATGTTGTCCGGACCCACTGCTTTCCCGTTCTTGATTTGTCTGACGGCCATTCTGATTTCTTCCTTCGTTGGTGGGTTGACGTCTATGGGAAGATCTGTGTGTGCCGCTTCGATGTCCGGTGGATTCATTGGAGCCGACCTATTCAGGAGTTCCTCGAAGTATTCTACCCATCTGTTCCGCTGTTGTTGAATTTCAGTGATTGGCTTGCCTTCTTTGTCTTTGACCGGTCTCTCTGGTTTACTGTATTTCCCAGCTAGTTTCTTCGTTGTATCGTAAAGCTGTTTCATATTTCCTTCTCTAGCAGCTTTTTCTGCCGTCGTTGCTAGTTCTTCCACGTATTTCTTCTTGTCGGCTCTAATACTCCTCTTCACTTGTTTGTTTGCTTCTATGTATTCAGCTTGTGCTTGGACTTTCTCTGCTCGTGTTCGGCTGTTGTTTATTGCTGCCTTCTTGTTCTTCCTTTCTTTGATCTTGTTCAGTGTTTCTGTAGAGATCCACTCCTTATGATGGTATTTCTTTAGACCCAGAACCTCTTGACACGTTAAAGTTAATGCTTCCTTGATGCCTTTCCAGTTGTCCTCCATACTAGTTTCTTCTTCTTTCAGTAGATCTTGTAAGGCTTGGAACCTGTTGTTGAGAGCTATCTTGAATTCATTGAGTTTGTCAGTATCTCGAAGGAAGGCTGTATTGAACCTTTGTAGTGCTGTTTGTCTACTTGTCCAGTTCTTTTTTAGCTTCAGTTTTAAATTGGCCACAACTAGGTGGTGATCTGAAGCTACGTCAGCGCCTCTCCTGGTTCTCACATCTTCCATTGTCCTTCGGAATTTTTTGTTGATGCAAATATGATCTATTTGGTTCTCTGTAGTGTGGTCCGGTGAGATCCATGTAGCCTTGTGTATACGCTTGTGTGGAAATATTGTGCCTCCTATGACCAATTTGTTGAATGCACATAGATTTGCAAATCTTTCTCCATTTTCGTTTCTTTCTCCCAGTCCATGTCGTCCCATAATATCTTCATATCCAGTATTGTCTATTCCGACTTTGGCATTTAGATCTCCCATCAGAATAGTTAGGTCCTTTCTTGGGCATTTCTCAATGATTGACTGCAGCCGCTCGTAGAACTGATCTTTGATGTCGTCGTTGCTATCATTTGTGGGTGCATAACATTGGATAATATTCATTAAGATCCCCTCCTTCTTTGTTTTGAATGATGCTTTGATGATTCTGGATCCGTGAGATTGCCATCCTACAAGTGCATTTCGTGCTACTTTGGACAGCATAAGAGCGACTCCCTGAGTGTGTGGAGCATTGTCCTCTTCGTGACCGGAGTATAGCAGCATCTCTCCCGTAGCTAGCCTTTTCTGTCCAGCTTGGGTCCAGTGGGTTTCGCTGATTCCCAGTACTGCTAAGTTGTATCTCCTAATTTCCATTGCTATTTGACTGGTCTTCCCGGTTTCCCACATTGTTTGAACGTTCCATGTACCTATAAAAATTTTTGCTCTGGTTGTTAGAAGGGGCATCGGCCTCGTGGCTTCCGAAGGAACTCGGCTTTCACCATGAAGCGTCATAATTCTTCTAAATGAAGACCTTCTAACTCCCAGGGCAGAGTTTAAATGGTTTGGATCATTTTTTCTGGTAAGCTTTTTTTTAGCGAGTTAGTTTTCTACGGGATGGGGACGCTAACCCCATGTCCAACCCTCCTCCTTTACCCGGGCTTGGGACCGGCGGTAACCCTATAAGAGCTACAGGCGGAGTTTCTGAGTATGACTTCGAAAATAATAATCCATATCTATCTTTTGTGGTCTGAAAGACTAGAAAGAAGCTAAGCACCACCGTCAGTCATATATTCTTTTGTTTATAAACCGATATTCTCAACATTTATCACGTTTTTAACTTACAGCCTTGACAGTTTGGTAGCCAATTGCAGGTTTATTCACTGATCCGTTGTTCTACAAAAACACAGTTTGGTTAGTATTATTATCTTACAGCATCAATAGTAATCGACTTGGATTTTAAATTGATAAATCCACCGTATAACAATCGGTGACCCAAATCATTAAACCACAACTCCAATACGATTTTGTTAGCCTTACTTCAAACTCTTTTCTCTATCGAAGGTCAGGATTGTCAACTAGAATATAAATAAACACCAATCCTTTTAAAATTATACGTTACAACACCCTATTTGTTAATGGAAATCTAATTTTTAATTTTGCTTGTCACAGTTTGGTGTTCACAAACTATCGTGTGAAATACTTCTCCAAACCCATTTTCATGTTCTTGTGTATTTCCAGGTCGTCTTGTTGAGCAAAAATCAAACCAACTTCAAAAGGGTGATGTTTTAGATATGATCAGACATGGTGCCAATTATATTTTCCGCAGCAAAGATAGTGATTTCAAAGACGAGGATATTGATATTATCCTAGCTCGAGGTGAACAAAAGACTGCTGAAATGAATGAAAAACTGGCTCAACTGGGAGAATCTAATTTAAGGTCTTTAAAATTCGATACGGCAGATGAAAATGGTGCACCAACGTCAGCATATATATTCGAGGGGGAAGATTATCGAGAAAAACAATGTCGCACTTCCTTATTAGATGTATGCGATTTTAATGGTATAGTTTAGATGAAGTCAGAGGAATTTATTTTTACTGTTTTCTCTTTGTAACTGTCATTCGAGTCATTTATATTTACTGATGATGTGCATTTGTAAATCATTACTATTCACTATTTGTGGTTTGTGTATTCTAATTTAATAAATATTCTATTTATGATAGGGTTGGATAGAACCTCCGAAACGCGAACGCAAAGCAAATTATGCAGTTGACGCATACTTTCGGGAAGCGCTTCGTGTCTCTGAACCTAAAGCACCGAAACCACCTCGACCACCAAAGCAACCGAATGTGCAAGATTTCCAGTTTTTCCCCCCCAGACTTTTTGAGCTTTTAGATAAAGAAATATATGCATTCAGGTTGGTCTGATTTTTTTAGGTTTAATAATTAATCAAAACCTTGTTTTTCCCTATTTTTGAGCCGAAATTACAAAAGCTTGAATAAAAGTGTAAATACAAACAGAAGGAATAGTGTGTAGTTTCGAAAGTTTATTATGCATCATTTTATGTACATCTAGATTTTTTACTAATAGTTGTACATAGACATGGTTGTTTATGTTACCAAAAATCTTGTGGTTAATTTCAGAAACATTTGCAAAACTAATAAATCCTCAGATACTAATCGCGGCAGAGGGTGTGGGTAACAAAAATGAGGACAATCTTATTTATCTCCTACCGAGAGATTCACTTACGGGCCTAGAATACTTTATTGATACAGCCCTGTTTGATGAGGACGCAGACAAAATTGTCTCCTGATAACCTCGATCAACAATCCATGCATGTCCGAGATGCGTTTATCCTCCTAATGATAAGTGTTTCTTTAGGACTGGTTTGTGTCACCGTTTAGATTGACCATAGGAAGTGAAGTAATTGAGCACATCGACCATTTTATTCCCCTTGAAAGTCTTATCAACCCTGCTAGGTTGATGTCTAACGAAATCTCAACCCAAATTCCGAAAGTTCACTTGACTTTTATCAATTTGCGTCACACGGATATCCGTATCTTGACGAAGAGAGGAGTATATTCCGCATTAGTTTCCTGTTCTACTGGATGATCTTTAAGTGTGGAGTTACTAGTATTTGATTATAGATGCGTTCTTAGCGCACATCGGAACCACTGAAAGCGATCAGTGTTGAGGTTAGATGTAGAGTACTAGTCAAATATGTTAAACAGGTTAATAAAATTAAGAATTGTCAGCGATTAAAGTGGTTTTTAAATCTATCTATCTAACAAGCTCTTATCTCGACGTGCCATGTTAGGAAAAACTATAACGTGGCATCAGTCTATTAATTCAGTAAATTAGCTAATGTTGAAATATAATTGAGCTCGTTTATATGGTCTTCTGACTGTTCGTGTAAAAATATTAACTAATTCACATTTCCAATGTAGTGTAGGGTTAACAGTTTTAAACGTCCAATATCAGCTACTGGAATTACCAAACTACCGGATTCATAAAAACAACTAAGGAATGGCTTTTTAAAACTAATTGATTGAATCAAAAATGTATGTGAAAAAGAAAATTACTTTATATTAATTATGCTGAGACAATTCATTTTAAATTTGTTGGGGTATCACTGTTTATTTCTTGTTTGGTTGTAGAAAGAGTATTGGTTATAAGGTTCCTCGTAATCCAGATGCTGGGCCAGATGGTGAGCGTGATCGTCTGGATGAGCAAGCTAGAATAGATGAAGCTGAACCACTAACTGAGGAGGAACTTGCCGAGAAGGAAGAGCTTTTAACACAAGTAAATGAACGAATGATATAATATTGCTCATTACTATTTGGTTTTCTCGAATCCTTATTATTTAGCTATGATCTTTTCCGAATAAATAATCGTATGTTTATTTTTTTAGGGTTTCACAAACTGGTCGAAACGTGATTTTCAACAGTTCATCAAAGCCAACGAAAAACACGGTCGTGATGATTTAGAAGCAATTTCAGTAGATGTAGAAGGTAAAACTCCAGATGAGGTTAAACGGTATGCCCGTGTTTTTTGGACAAGATGTAACGAGTTGCAAGATGTCGATAAGCATATGGCTCAGGTAATTGTCAATTTATATCAATACTAATTCCTGTTGATGATTTGAAAGACATTGTCTAGCGTGGATGTCTATATATTATGATTAGTGACTACATAAATACCGTTATTGGAAGATAATCAGTCATAATAATTTCACCCGGACACTTCCGTATTAATAAAAGCTGTTTAAATGTTGTTTTTGCTAAAATCACATATCGTCAGATGTGATTGTTTACACCTCCATTGATATATATAGTGTCTATTATCACATGAATTTTCAGGTGCCAATCAATTAAGTCCTATTTTTCAATTCCACATGTTATCACAATAAAGCAGTAATTCATTTCCTATTTTGAAACTTTATCCTGTTAAACTAACGTATATATATACCTTCATCGTGAAGTTTGTTAAAAGTATTTTTATCCCACTTTTTTGTTCGCTCATCAGATTGAGCGTGGTGAAGCGAAAATCCAAAGAAGAGCTGCTGTAAAACGTGCTCTTGATCTAAAGATGGCCCGATATCGAGCACCGTTTCACCAACTTCGGATACAATATGGAACAAACAAAGGGAAGAACTATGTTGAGGAGGAAGATCGCTTCTTAATCTGCATGCTTCATAAACTTGGTTTCGATCGTGACAATGTATATGATGACTTACGTCTTGCAGTTCGCTTGGCCCCACAGTTTCGATTTGATTGGTTTTTGCGATCTCGTACAGCAATGGTGAGTAGTGTCAAATAATCGCCGGTGATTGTTTATGCTTGGTGGAGTTTTAAATTTATCTATCGACTTTTCACTTCGTATACAGGAAACTTGCTATAAATAGGCATTTCAAGATAATTTTACATCAGTATTGCAGTTGCTATTTTCTTACTTGTTCATGTCAGCTGTTCACTTTTCTATTTCAGGAACTACAAAGACGTTGCAGTACTCTTATTACTTTGATTGAGAGAGAAATATGTGACTTAGAAGACCGAACAAAACAGCGTAGTGGAGCAGGCGCGAATAATTTATCACTCACTCCTGCAAATTCCGGACCATCTAACACATCCACAGTATCCAATCAAAAGCGGAAGTCAACTGCAGCTGGTGGGATTAACTCGGATTCAACTGCAGAAATTTCCGGAAACGCAAAGAAAAAGAAGGTCACTGCTTAAATAACAGTGATTTGTAAATGTCTCTGTCTTATACTCTTGTTGTAGGCCTCTTGCATTTGATTTTATGTACTCAATTCCTTTGATTTCATACTGGTGTATTGTTTACCAAATCTTACATAAATAAAGATTTGTAATTAAATTTACTCCTAACCAAATATTTTCATTTGGTGTCTATAATAATCTGAAGTGTAACAACGTTCAACAATAAGAATATTTTAGTGTACACTAAAGCATTTACTCGATTCTCATATTTTTGATTTCTACTAAGTTATCTTATACATTTAAATTCATATAATTAATGATCTACCTAATAAAAACGATTAATGACAGAGAATTCACCTAAATCATTCTCACTCATTTGATCAGAAACTCAAAATATAACTTTCTCATATCGAATATATTTAGGAAAGTAATTAGTAACAATAGAATCGACTTTATAAAACGACACTGCTTATAAATGACCAAATTTTAGTAGATTTTCGAAGAAAATGATCTATTTCTTAGAACGTCTGCTTCAAACGTTTTCACGAAGAAATACAAATTTTAATTAACATGGCTGCATCACATTTGTAGTCCTGTTAATTATTAAAATAATCGATTTTCATGAACAGTTACAATTCTTGAGAACAGCTGGATTACGATATCATCTTATAATTATTCTAGTCCACTGGGTATATCGTTAATCTAATCATCATATTCAAAAAGGCGTTTAACGTAACAACATCGTGTTCCACTTTAGATGGGCACTTTTTTGCACGAAAACGAATGATCTTCAGCAGGAATGATGCGTCCGAATGATTTTTCTTTAACGCTTACTTGCGTTGTTTTTACAACCTCAGGTAGAGAATGTCATGCGTTTGAAATATGTGTCTAGTCCCTGTTGTCTTGTACTATGATTATTGTTTAGACCCTGGTTTCTGTAGGTTGTCAGTTGTCTCATTAAGGTTTACAAAGTGTATGATAAATGTTTGCAGATAGTTTATTTTCTACTGTATACTAAATTACGTATTTATAAGTTATCAAAGTAACCATAATTCACAGCTGAACGTAAAGAATGAATATAAGGTGAAATATTATTATTTAAAATTAAATATAATTTATGTAAAAGATGTGTTGTTTCTGAATTTGTTCAGTAAACATTCATCCGTTAGAACCAAAGGAATAATTGATCTGCGGTAGAACTTAGAGATTCAATGTATAGTATTGTAGTGAACGAGAACACGGGTGGGGACAATCGAATGTTCTTAGCACGGCAATTACGGTCTATTTCAACAATATTTGAATACCATATATTAAATCGTCAATTTGCAAAATATTCACGCATCAAACCAAACTGGATAGTTTCTGTTATAAACACCAATCCATTGTCTCCCATTCCATTGTTCATAGGTTTTCTTACAAATTCCATTATGTTCTCGCTCCACTTTTCTTGATCTTCGCCATCTTTTGCTGCCAGACATTACGTCCTTTTAACGCATGTTATACACTACTTATGTCAATATAAGTAGCTCACATCACAGTATTCTTATGGACGAAAGTACTACTAGTAGCGCCAATATATTGGTACAAGAGAGCGCCAATATATATGCGCCACACAAAACAATGAAAATTCGAAGAGAGATAGAAAAAAAAAACTAAGGACCACAAAAGGTAGTGTGGTCGTAACGATGGAACAGAAAGGTACAATCAGAAGAAATCTTTCAAGTAAGGGAGACACAACCACTATTATGAAGAAAGTAAAAGAAGGTTACAGCAGGATCGCCACTGGCTTCTATTCTGAGCCATATCTGATAACGTCTCTAGCCACTGTGTAGCACCATCTCTCAGACCCCAACCAGGGAGTCGTGAAGGACCAACACAAGCCAGTCCTTTGCAGCTTTCTTTCATACCACGACACCATGTCATGCACTGACCACCTCTCCGCTATTTCCAACCAGTCCCAGAGTCGGCAAATAATGCACGACGTGGAATTCTCTGGGACGACATTCGTAGAACATGTCCAAGCCACCGAAGTCGGTGTTTCAAGATGGTGACACCAATTGAATTATCATCTCTGTGCCCAAACACACGATGCCGAACCTCTGCATTACTGACATGGTGTTGCCACTGAATGTCAGCAATCCTTCGGAGACAGCGATGATCGAACACAGAGAGTCGTCTAACGTCCTCAACTCGGAGAGGCCAGGTTTCACAAGCATAGAGCAAAACTGCTCTCACCGACGCGTTGTAGATCCGACCTTTTACAGCCAGACTAACATCACGAAGGCGCCAAAGATGGCCCAGATTGGCATAAGCCACTCTGGCTTTCACTATACGTGCATTGATCTCATCACTCACACCCCCACCAGCACTTATGCAGGTACCCGGATACACGAACTTCTCGACTACGTCTATCTGCTCACCATCCAGGGTGAGTACAGGATTGGAATCCTGCCAGTCTTGTAGAAGTACTTTGCACTTCGAAGGTGCAAAGCACATACCATACCTACGGACACTGATTGCCAACTGATTAAGTGCAGATTGCATGCCTTGGGCATTATCGCACAGTAAGACAATATCGTCCGCATACTCAAGGTCGAGAAGTCTTTCTCCAGGCAACAGATCCACACCACTACTAGTAGCACGAGTTTCGAAGTATGTATATTCGTCTATAATGAGTACACGATTGTGACGAGATGGCATAGATTTTATACGTACTGTCATCAATATAATTAATTAATATTTAAACGAATTAAGTGAAAACTGGTGTTTGCATAACCTACTCTAGGGTTCAACAAGTTAGTATGAAAAAAATTACAGATAAACAGTCTCACTGGAATATGTGCTGTTTGAGTAAAAATGATAGTTTACCTAAAGAAATTGGCACTAATAATGATGTGAAGTACGCTTGGAGATAACTATCTCCGTACTCTGTTTTCACTATGAATGATTCTATGTAGTGATTTTTCTTTCCAATTCCTGTCTCCTGCTCGAACAGCCGATTTTCGTGGTGAGATTGATTGTTTTATCATCCAAAACTGCTATTATAGCACGACCTGTTTTTGTGATTTCGACTTCCGTGACCTCTGCTTATTGTAACAAAAGTTTTATTCTTCCTCATTATCTTTAACAGGTTTTGAAGTTCTTAATGGCTTGTAACGGTTATTATGTCTGACATATGAATATAGTTAAGAAATTAATTAGATATAAAGTGTGCATTTCTAACTCTTAATTAATAGATCGTTCACATTCTAGCTCAGTTACTGCATGTGATTAGCTATGGCTACCGAATATTGATAACTGTATGTTTAGTGGATTGTTCCACCAATGGTTCGCCGACCTAGTAAGAAGTATTTTTTATCAGCATAGGGTTGTTGAGACTGCTGAATTTTACTAAAATCACGAACCGATCTAAATTAACAACCAATAAAAGCGCTGAACGACAGTTTTGTTTTGGCATGGGACTCCTCAACAGTGCACATCCATAACTCCACGACTTGGAACCCAGCCCAGTATTTTAGGTCTCACGTGCAAATGCTTAACCTCTAGACTATTGAACTGGGATCTATGTATTGAAAATAAGTAACTCGAGTGGTAAACTTTTATTTGCAACTTCTTCTAAGGTATTTCAAACTTAGCAAACGGTACTCGACTTTCTAATTCTTGCAGTAATTCATTCAGTAGAATGTATACTAGATATTTTTTAACCAGTTAGAAATAGTATTCCAACTATATTCATGTAAAACTCAAAGATCCCTCATCTTGGATCTGTTTGGCTCGTCCATATAATACAATTCTACCGAACTCTCATCTTAGGATGCTGCAACGGGGTCAGTGAACTACTTTGAACCATAGGTTGTTTGTTGGATAAATTTTATTATATTGTTTTATGTGAAAACAATTAAATCAGTGTCCGATGAATTTGTTGTTATTCGTAATAGCTACCAGTCACTTGAGTCATCTTATTATCATTATACGGTACGAAGCCACAGTCTACTTATACGTGAAACAACCTGTGGTCATATTCCTCCTATAATCATTGATAAGTGTTCATGAAACCGAATTTCGTACAAACGTTCGTTCAGCTTGAAATTCTTTAATCAAATTTTTATCAGTTTTACAGTCACTTGTAATGATGTCCCAAGGATTGTTAGACTGTCCAACCAAACAAAATCATTTTAAGTTTCAAAAAGTTATATTTTCTATGCTATCCTCTCAACATGAAGTTAAAAAAACATTTTAAAGTTGCATTTCTAGTTTCATAGACCCACTAGAAAGTTCAGTGCTTAGTTAATGCTGTCTATCACTTGTAATTTCGGAATCTCTCAACCACATAGATACACCCTTATTGGAAGTGATATATCAATACCAAGAACGAATTTTTATTCTTAACTTCGATCAGTTCACTTGATACCCAATCCTTGAATGAATTTTATTTGATAAATTTACAGAATTCCCAAAATAAAAAAATTCCATAAAACATTTCACTGCATGAAAGATCAACTCTTAGTAGCCTTCTGTATCTTTTCCGATGACTATGTTCTGTCTAGATTTTCATTAACATTTTTTAAGGTTCAACAGTCATGGAATATATGTGCACTTGTTTAAACGATAAAAACTGTTATAGCTCGGGTCCTGATAAGTTCACTTATTTATTTAAAAGACAGAATTCGAAATAACGTTGCTATCTTAATTTCATTCAAGTTGAAAACTTTTCATTTTGTTCTTAGTCGACAATTAATTTAATAGTTGAGATCATGAGTCAGTTGAAGCTAGACCACCATGAAAAACCAAGAAGCACTGGACGGCTGTTTCGTCCTATTGTGGGACTCCTCAGCAATACGCATCCACGACCTCGCCTTGCGAGATTCGAACCCAGGATCTATCAGTCTCGCGCGCGAGCGCTTAGCCTCTAGAACACTTAGCGGGTCGGCATCCAACGGTGTTAATGTCTAACTTCAACTAATCCACCAAAGTGAGCGACACATCCACCATTATCTTCAGTGAGTTGCTGTCTCACAACAGACCCGGTTGAACTCCCACAGTAGTACGAAACGACCGTCCAGTGCTTCCAGGTTTTCCATGGTGGTCTAGCTTCAATCGACTCATGATTTCAACTATTAAAATTACTATAATATCCACAAAGCCGCTTCTGAAGTTAATTCAATGTCCAAAATGATATTCCTGAGTTTAGCGAACATTTTCAAACTATGATCTTTCAGAACAAAAATATTTAGCCTGATAGTGGTGGGTACCATAAAATATCACATTGGTTAGTGAATTCAATTATCTTCACAGAACAGCCCAAAGAGACACTCGCTATGGAAACTCTTGGTACCAAACCCATCACAACTTCATTAGTTTACATCTAAAAACAGTTATTGAACACTTTTGTGTGAAATACTTACTGCCTTCGTTTCGTTTAGTAAATGTCATTGTCTATTGACAAAACATATAATAGATAAAATACACTAATTATATAACACTGAACTTATCTGAGACGCCGACGTGCGGCTCCCCTAGGGACAAATAAATGACATATTTCAAGCTGAGAATAGCAAGCTTATTCCAGGTCTTCGCCGATCCTCGATCCAAACACCTGAGCGAATTCCATCTAAGAGATTCGTTCCCAGTTTCTGTTCAGTGATATTTTCAGCATAGACTGATGATTCTGTTTTTCTAATATTTAGAACTAATTTGTAAGTTTGGCACAACTTTTCACAGTATTTGAATTATTGGAACTAGTTTCGGTTTGTGGTGATAATGTTAGTATGAATAGTGTTACAATATTTTTCACTTACATAGACTTAAATTGTTCTATTATGTTCTATGCACGTAAGATATATGATAAAAGACACCTTTCTGGTTCTACGTTGCACAAATAACCCCCGAATTTTTTATGCTTAAACCATGTCTCGAAGATTTAGGTCACAATTCTTCTAGAACATCTGACAAAGATACTTTACATGCTACAACGTTTACTTACTAATTGATCATCCGGATGTACATAAAAGACAAAACGGTTAAAACCATACACTTAACAAACTCCTCGTTTCTGGTCCTAAATTGAATTGTCATCAGTGCTGTGAAATTATAAAGTAAATAGTTAACCAGCAGGTTTCCGAAAAACTTATCCTATAAGATGTTTTTCTACCTTTTCTCAAAAAGTAATTGCAAAAATACTAATTAGTTTATAACATTCACCGATAGTTATCTAATATCCAAGTCCCGGTTTCAACAAAGTATCTGATGAGTCATTTTTGTGGCCCAAGGCTTCTGATTGACTACAAAGACAGTTCTTAATCTCAATTTCTAAATTCTATTTAGAATATGGTGCCCTTCCTTGAAGTCCTGTCTTCTCTATCACATATCAGTGTGCGAATTTCCAACTTTGAAGAGTCCTTGTGTGTTAGTTTCTATGATTTCAAGTTCACAGATTTCCATTTTGGAACTATTTTTCTTATCGATTTTAAGCAGCATTATCCCGTTGTCGATATTCCTGACTGGATTTTGATCAGTCTTTGTTGACATATATGCATCCTGTGCGGACTGTATATAGCCAAAATGTCGTGAACTTTATGTAAAATAGATGAAGTGTAGCTAGCGGCAGAACCTAAGATCCACGTATCGCCCTACTTGGAACTCTTCAACCGGATGTCCCTGTATCTCAGTGATGTTCAAACCATAGCTCAAACTCAATACCTACCTTTTAAACTCCTAACCCGTTATCCGCTGGGCTACTGAATCTGGTTGGCTTCTATCTTGTTCAACGGGTATGATATTTTTATTATTAGAAAAGGCTTGGTTTATCCCGCTGTTGATATTGTTGATTGGATTTTAACCAGTCTTTGTTGATATGTGTGAATACAGTGCTGATTTTCTCTCAGTGCGTTTAAAGAGTAAGGTACAAGGTCCGAGTCCCCACATGGATTTCAACATTGGGGTGTAAGTATAACCAGCCGATAAGTCCGAAATAGGACGAGATGTGCACCCTGAATCTCACTGCTAACCAAAGCCTATCTATTCTATATAAATAGAAACCCAGATGAACCCGCGAGAAAATATGACCATATGATGCAAGCAATTTTACAACAATAAGTGAAATATGATCATGAGCTAATTATGAAGCTACATACCAAAATAGCTACTATTCATTCGTTAATTAAAGCAACTAAAGAATATGAAAAGATGTATTAAAAATAAACATATATATATTCATTTTTAATGACTGAGAAACAGAAGTTTGCAAAAATTCAAATAAAATAATTTTCTATTAAGCAGTAAATAAATCAGTTATTTTTCTTAGTTTGAATAAGTATTGACAAGTAAATAAATATTGGTATGATTGAGCAAGAGAATATGACTAGAGAAAAACAAACAAATAATAAAATAAATGAGTTTTGCACAGGATCGACAATAAATTGCACATCATTTTAATGAGAATATTAGTAATAGTAATGGAAGTAGCAGAAGTAGTGATAGAAAATTAAAGAAAAAAAATGAATATACATAGTCATTATCATTTATGTTGTGTATTTTTTGCAATAGGAATGTTTTCATTTAACACAGATCATAGTTAAATAGGTAGTTAGTTGCCCAAATGTATTTGTCTACAACTACATAAATATATGTTATACAAAGACCGATAATAAACAACTAGGAAAAACACCAAAAAAAAGAATTATAAATATCTCTCTCATACACGCATATATAAAACAGGCTAATAATGTAATAAATAAACAGATCAAGGAAAATTTTATTTTAAAAAAATATCATAAGATGATTTGAAGAGAAATCCAATAATTTATGCAATTTCAAACGGTTTAGAGATCATGAAAACCAATTAGTTCGACCAATCCAACAGTGAACATACAACCAATTTGTCCATTTTCACACTGAATTGTTTGTGTTAAATCAGCTGGATCAGTAATCAAGCAAGGATTAGAAAAAGTTAGAGTTGGACCACTTGAAGCCGTTGTGAGACAACTATCCAAGCTTAAACCTGGAGGTCCCTTACTTATACTGCCACCAATTTCTATACCATTATTTGAAGCTCGTTGAAAACGTTGGTGTTGTATGGAATGTATAATCTTTTCATCATCAGAACTTGATCCAATCCACCTATATATAACAAATGGACCAGGTTTAATGCGAAATAGAAAGCATAAACCATTTCCATAGTAAACAGATTCAACACGAGGTTGCCATCTATCTGAACAAAAGGCTCCAATAATACTATTCCTTGACAAACTACGTACCAATAGAATTGTTGCAGGATTTTCTGTCTCTGCTGCCTTAGCATAAAATGTACGCAGGCTATTACCATCTACATTAGATGAAAATACTCGATACGGTTTGAATAAACAGGAATATTTGCGATCATCAATCGATGTGATAATTGAAGCTAATTCATTACTCGATACACATTCAGACGGATGAATTTGTTTTTCAGCATCACCACCAAGTAAGTAAGCAGCGAATGTATTCTTTCCGCTTTTATTACATGGTTGAATCAGCTGTTTGTCAACATCAAAATTCACTTTCATTAAAGAAAAGAAAGTTAAAAGTAATTGAATTAAGACTTTAGTTATACATATAATTAGTTGAGCTAAGAATAATAATCGATTTACTCTCATTAAAGAAAAATGTTTCAACGTGTAGTTGACAGAACAAATATATAGTAACATTTTTCCTAAGTACAACAAGAATATTTCAATTGATATTTCGAGGTAAAACTGAGAAGTATGCAATAACAGGTTGAGAGAAAATACGCAAATACACTTTTTATTGTACATTTTTAATTCTTATTAGTTTGGTTTAATTAGTCTTAATGGACTGTTTATCGAACTGTTGGACTATATTAGTTCCCCATAAATCAACTTTTTAAAAAAATGTCGTTTCGCATTTACGAAATTAGAGACGAAAAAAAATAAATTTCGATATTCCTACAACTTACTGAGCAATAAACTACCACTATCATAGTGTTTATCTTTTGTTTTAAGGACACTTATAAAGACTAGATAGATCATTGATTGTTTCCAATTATCATGTGAACAACTTCACTTTACTGTGTAATCATAGTGTTCGGTTAAATAGTAAAGACGTTATTTAAGGAGAAAACTCTTGGTGTTGAAAAAAAATATGCTTAAAATATCATGAATATTTTACAAATTGTTAGGTAGGCCAAAAATTACCTTGAAGAGACTGAACATTTTTGATTGCCTGAGAAATTTTCGTCCGACTCACACCATGCAGTGAGAACATTTTTCTCATTAACTTTGATGGTGTCAATGGGATATGTTTGAATATTTCTTCGTCATACACAAACCCATGAGAATAATCACCAACATTCTTTCCGATTCCATTGGTTTCACTGCTAATCTTTAAATACTTTCCGCTTAAGGAGGCTTTAAGAATCTAAATGATAGATTGCAAAAAAAGGAACACAATTAATGTGCTTTGAATAAGAGCATAGTTTCTTTAGAAACGATTCAACACTAAGGTAATTTTAAAAATGAAGATTATAAAGTGACTAAGATTGCAATTCGTACTGAACTTCCATAATGGGTTTATTACCGAATAACCTGCTTTGTAGTAAAACTAAATCGTATTATAACCTTCAAAACTTTACTTACCGCACAAGTCGGTTACCCATAAACAACCGCTTATTATTTGACTTTAATTAAAGTTATGCGAGGAAAACATATCATCACACTCTCTGAAACATTGACATGACAACTTAATGACTTTTATTAGGAAAGTTTATCTTTGACAATTAATATTTTTGAAGCCAATTAGTCAGTAGTTTCTCTGATGTTACATTCATAACGTTAACGCCTCTGAGTTTTTGAAATATAGTCGGACAATTCGAAAATGAATTTTTTGATTGATGCTATCTGCTTTTTTTAAAATAAGAACTAGTCCTTCTACTTTGCCTGGCATGCTTATGATCAGTGTTATCTTTTCTAAGCTTACATAAAGCATCTTGATATTGTTTGGTGTGTGGAGATTTGTTTGCCATATTTGCATTATTGCCAGCTATCTATCAACCAACGTGTTCTGAAATCTAGTAAGTTCTTCGAATAAGTTTGGGACCAAATATGTTGTTTATAAAAATAATTCCTCAGACTGCAGGTCCGTATTTAGTTAATTAATTTTATATCCATAGTCACAGAGTTTATTGGCAAGCGATAAAGCCTCTAATTTAATTATATTCAAGTTCACACTGGAAAAATTGTTTCGGTCAATAGGGAACTTAATTTCTGGTTTTTGATGTTCAAGCAAACTTAATAATTATATCCCTAATTTTTCCATTCTAATTTTTGCCACAGTGTTGACACAGCTCATAAATTGTGATTTCACACCTAGTGGTAAGTTTTCGACAGTAGATTACCTTTGTAAAAAAATGCTTTCCAAATCAATAGTGTGCACTTTTAATAAATCTGTTTGATTACACATTATTTGCCACTCGTTTTCAGTGTACTGTAAAGCACAGGACTTGAATAGTAAGTATTAGACAAGCATGACATTATTACCAAGTGACCAATCAATGTAAATATGATAATTCTTCAGGAAGTCAGTTGCAGTTAGAATGTCTTAGTGGTGATGTTTCTAACCGTGAAACTGAGTGTGGTGGGTTCAAGTCTTACACGGATTATCAGGTCATTTCATACTGTACATATGTCTCGTTGATGATTCCTAACTGACATAAGACTTGAGTCTAAAACTAACAAATATAACTTAACGAAGACCTAAAGCCTCATGTACTGAACTGCAGTTTATATGAATAAGGGGAAAAACGACAATTTTTTTTAAACTTTTAATGAAGTGGTTAGTTACTAAGGTAAATGGAAGCCGAAGAAGAAGAATGTAACACTAAGTGAGTTTGAGAAACAAGTCATAATATTGTGTCTACATAATTTTAAGGAAGAACCTTTTAGTGAACCGTAGACTATAATAAGGTGGTTAATAACTGTTATTAACGCTGCATGAATGAGCTAGCTTTTATCATATCTAAAAGCAGAAAACGCATTATACTGTTTTGGACAGATGTATCGTACAGTGATTACAGATAATATAAAATCAGTGATATGAAAAACTTACAACTAAACCAGCACGATAGAACACTTTCGGTCCTTCTAACAAAAAGCTATCAATTAAACAAACAAGATGTTCAAAAGGTAACTTCCACAGTAATAAACACCAACGGGCCAACTGAAGCCGTCTTTCATCTTCTTTACAGGTGACACTAACATTTTTCTCATTTGATTTGGAAGTCAGCAATACGGTACGCTTCCGACTATCTCTTCGTAAAAGATTACATAAATAGGCCAACTCTTCTAATGATAAACAATGTTCTTTCCAATCAGATTTCGTTTGAATTAAAATACCAGGTTGATCCAATAAAGTGAGTATACATTTACGTACAACTGTAATAGGCATATAGTGTAGAAATAATGCTGTCAACGGCCATAGCTGTGGAGCATAAACAAGTTCTGGGCGGTCAATAAAAATATTATGTAATATTGTCCGTAAACAATTTTGACCAAGTGTATTTAAGAAAAAAGTTGGCAATAACATTTGATTGGAAAACTCGTAACCAGCCAATAATGATGAACCATCAATGTTTGTAACACTGGTTGGTGAAATATCATTATTATGGATGCTTGAATCGGAAATCTAAGTAAAATCAACAAAATGAAAGTTATGAATACAAAAAGATGTATATCGATAAACAAATAATTATTATAAGGAGAGAAGGGTGGTGGCATACTCACTACTTTACTGCGATAGAACTCCATTCTAATCCCCTCTTATTATGAATGTAAACCACTACTGTACTGTTAAGATATATCAACGTAAATTGATCCATAGTTACACAAGATCTATTGAAATGAGTGTCACTTAATATATATAAAGAATTAAAAAAAGCTGATTGGGGGAACATTTGATTTTACTCCTAATTGAAACACATGATTGATATATGAAATATTCTTTATCAAGCAGACTTTAGATTATCTTTCATTATTAAAATAAGGGTAAAGAACCATAATAGATGGATTACACTCTATTAAAGGAAATGTGTAACTACTTAGATGAATTGAGTATAATAGAGTAACAAAACACTCAGGCATATAGTAAACTTCTTGTTATAATTCTCTGATCATGTTAAAGAAAAACTAGAAGTACTATATTCACTTAAATAATACTGCCAATTGGTCACGTATCGTGGAACGACGGAGTGAGCAATGTTCAAGTTAGACGCAGGACACCAAGTAAAGATAGCAAGTCAGTTGGTAAAGTTGTAAATGCTCACAGACTGAGGTGGATAGAACACATATTATGTATGCCTAATCATCCCCTACCTTGATAGGCAACGACTGCTGGTGTAGGAGTATGTTGGAAGAAATTTTGAAGCTGCCAAACGATGATAGGGCATCAGTTCATGTGTACATTGGCTGTCGATCTGAGCTATGCTAGTATATTTGGACTAAACGGTTGGGGTCCTTGTGATAAACGTGACCAGTAGCTAGAGACTAGATGATATGGCTCAAAATCGCTCACAACTATGCTATTTATCTTGTTGATTTTATTTTGTCATTTTAAAGTTGTGCAGCAATTCGGGATAGCACATATTTGTCACAGGCTCCATGTTGGTTATGACTAATTGACTATCATTAATTGTCGTTATTACGTCGAAAATGAACAGTCAATTTGTCTGACATCCTGTAAGAAAAGCTCGTATCTATCCAAGTATTTACAAAATTAATTACCAGAATAGGTAATGATATTAATGACCATACAGTGTTAAGCAATACAAGTGTACCATCCTTTAAAAGATTTAGATAACGTACTTCAAGTGTTTATGTTATATTATGTGATAATATAAACCGTTGTTTTGATCAATTGTTGTATAAATACTTTCATATGATAAAAATGATGACCGAAAAATTGATGTGACAAACGATTCCCTTAGTCATACTGCGGGATAGGATTCGTGGTTTCGTAAAATCAGGCTGGTATTATCGAATTGGAACGTATGTGCATTAGTCAAAGTTGAATAAAGACGAGTATCTGTAGTGGTGGACAGAACAATTGTATGGTAGTGTCCAGATTTGAGAGAGTCCAAGAAAACTTGTTATTCAATTCAAGCCACTCTATGTGGACTTATGCAGTGGTACAAAGACTAGTGAAGAATTATTCCCCGAAGTAACTGCAATAATCAATAGTCGTCAAGAATGTTTATAGTCATTATTTTTGTCCTTTGTTGTGAGCAAAAAAATGGACCTAACATGTTTTAACTCCAATCTTGCGGAGATCCACCTTTCTCCCAGAGAATTTGATAGACCTAGTATATCCACATGATGTAGTCTGAGTGAATACAGGGTCTTTTAAATGTATTACGTAAACATTTGAGATTGTTTAGCAAACATTCCTAACTTTCTAAGTGCCTTAGAAATATTGCTAGCGTCTTCTGGGATCACCGGGTAAGTAATAGTGAGGTTCGACGTAGGGTATTAGGGAATGATGGTAAATCAGTTGATGAGGTTGTAAATCTTCATCGACTGAGATGGTTGGGCCGTGTTACGTATACCCGAACACCGATTACCACGACGTGCAACGCTAACCGGTGTTCGGGATGGTCAGAAGAAAGTTAGGGGCGGCCAAACCAAAACGTGGCATCAGTGCTTGAAGTCACTAACTTCTAGTCTGAGCCATGTTGGTAGATGCAGACTACTTGGTTGGGGTCCGCGTGACTATCGTAACCAATAGTTGGAGACTCTTGGTGACACGGCTCAGAATCGATCACAATGGCATCGGTGTATACACTCTCTGTCTTCCCTTAAACTAAGAGATTAAAACCGCTTCATGTCTTTCTTTCCACTAACTAATTCTTTCTTCCTGTACTATGTCCTTATTGCAATCTTTCTTTTATATATTACCACCCCTAAATGAACTACTTTTATGAATCCGGTGTCCATCTTGTTGTGTTAATGAGGTATGGCAACATGGACCCATGCATATATGTGCCTGGTCCTACGTTGTAGCTGACTGACTGACTGCTAAGTGCACAATAATACTTTAGGAATGATTCGTGCCTATACCTATTTTGAAAATTTAATAAAATGATTAGGTCAGTAGATTATTTTACTTAATATGCAGTCTAGTTGGTTTAAATTGTATCTGCCCGTTTACACTACATGTAACACTGGTGAAGTATCTAACTATCTATAAAATGATAATGTCATGCAACAGTCCTTCCTATAACTATCAAATTTAGGCACTTAAAAAGGAAATGTGGAAATTGCAGGTGTTCGGTTATCGATACCTGGAAATCATTGTCAGTGTGTGGTGGAAGCATTAAGTTCGCATCGCAAGAGTGAGGCACGAAAATCTAGACAAACTATAATTCAGTCGGTGTACGTATAAATGACGTTACGACAAAATAAAGTAAGATACACCTAGAAAATATAATAATAATTACAAATCGGGTTCCCAAGTAAAAACACTGTTGGAGATTGGATATTAGACCATTTACGAGAAAAAGTGAAACTATGGCCTCCTTCATGATTGATAATAGCCTTTAAAAAAGACCGATTACAAAGTAAAGTGAAGAGAGAATTTAGGAGGCAAACAAATATTTGAAGATGAACTTTACAAGAGAATACTGGAGCACTACTAACCTGTAAATTAATGGAATATTTGGTGGATAAAAGCTGTGACCAAAGACTTTTACGTATGGGATGTGATGGGGGTAAATTGAGATTCCGAATGAATATTTTTAACTTTGCATGCCCATATTTAGAAGTTTTATCAAACAACGAGCTCAAAACAGCCAACTCACTGCCATCGTGAACAACCTTTCCTAGGCTTGAGGAATCCACCAAATCTGTAAAAGGGCTAGAATAAAAATTTGTTATCGTAAGATTACGTTATGTAAAACAATTTGATATTAAGAAATACGATATATAAAGTTAGGTATGCGACAATTCATAAACGCCCAAGCTTAAAAAAGGGGTCTCCTTATGGGACCAATGTCCCATTGATTGAAACGTCTACTCGATGAGACAATGAGATGACACTGTGAACCTTATTTTTCAGATAGCCATCGAGTGGTATGATCTTTTTATTCTTTTTATTAAGATCCTAAAGTTTGTATAATTTGAAGTTGATGTATTTAATTAGATCCAGCACAAACGCATGCACGTAATCAACACAGAAACTGACAAAAATGTGCATCAGTCTAATTTCCCATCACATCAGCATAACGGGACTAAATTATCAATATGAATATTAAAGTAGTAGAAGCAATGATAGTAGTAGCATCAGTGGCAGCAAAAAATTCAGGTACAGAAAATATGATTCTAAAATAATGAATTCATAGAACAGGAAACAAAATAATTTTTAAAATCAGGATATAGGTTTAACATTAAACTGAATATATCTGGGTCGTTACTACCGATCTTGTAGCCACATAGGTAGTCAAAGTTAGCGAAACATATTTAGAACTGAGAGCAAGCCGTTATGTATAAAAAGAATCCGAAATATTACTAACAGTTAACTGAACGATACGTAATTTAAAAAAACTGGGGCAAATCACCTAGCTGGAAGTATGCCTCCAATGCATCTCTGTGTTAAGATGGTGTGGCAACTCGAACTGATGTACGTACGTACGAAGTTCTACGTTGTTACTGACTGACTGACTGAGAACCCAGTATAGGTTTTCATAACACTAAACAGCACAAGTTTGGGCACCCGGGCAGTATCACAGCCCTCACACAAATCGAATGAGATTTGTGTGGCACATATGTATCTGGTGCCTTCTTGTACGAATATCTGTGTCCAAATAAATAATGCAAGTAGGAAACCAACTACATGAGAACGATATCACGATGAACAAGAAGAACGGGAGATGAAAAATCAGTCCTAAATTCGAATACGAAATAATTATATCGGGACAACTGTGATCGATTTCTAAGTACGTCATTGTGAATAATCTAACCACGAAACATGTCTCTCCACAAATCAGGCAGAAATATCTTGTCAACTAGCATCATTTTTCTGAGTGATTACAAATATCAGTTTGGAAATATTCGCACTCTAACCAAAAACTCATATTATTGGACTAGCTAGTTGAAAAAGTACAGTCCTATGGTAGAAATGGTTGTCCGATTAAATAGTTAAGGCATATTGAATGAGAGCTGAAGACAACGCCTAGATACTTAAGAAGTAGGTGACCTAAGGTTTTACCCTCAGGTAATAACTAAACTTCGAATGTTTAGGACACGATGTCTCAGTTCCATAATAATGATAATAATAATAAGTACTGCTGACAGGGTATTTAGTAAACATATAATAACCAATATTTTGAAGTTAAATAGTTACAAAAATATACTTCTGAGCATGTAATCTATTTTCTATTTTTTACCTCAATTATGGTAGTAAGGAAGTGTAATCTACTTCAAGGTGCCTAGAATTTCTAATAACAGCGACTCGCGATTATTTAAATTGTACATTATTTCCCCCAAGTCATTTCTCCCCATCAACTTTGTTTTCAAAAACTTTTCAAATACGAAATGAATAATATTAATATGTATGTAGCATATATCGAAAATCCAACAAATTATAAATTGCTTGGCACAAGTCTACTTAACCACATAATGTAAACGACAAGATTTAGTACCTTTCCCCCGAAGTAGACAAAAGCTTACGTGACTCTTTCAGGGATGACGCATAAAGCCATTAGACATCCAATTTTTTTTTTCACTACAGGCCAGTGAGCATTGGGAACGCGATGAAATATTCCTAATCCAGAGACGCTTTTTTAAGACTGTGGACGTAGGATTTTAGGGAAGACTACGGTGTTGTGTACTCAGTATTTAATGGTTAATTAGATATATCGCTCAGACTCTTCGGTTGGTAAATCCTAAGTAAACTTAGTATCTTTACTGTGATTTTTCAACAAATAATTTATCATTCTCACCGAAATTTTTTAAATTCAGTGTGATGATCTGAGCCCTCACAAGGTTGGTTCAAAATGTAAGATCACTAGATAAAATGTCTATTTGTGAAAAGTAACTCGTAATTTCAAATAATTCAAAACTTTAGCTTTATGGTGTGTTACCTAAGGGACCAATTCATGAAGTCATAAAAAATGATCTGAACCATGTAGGTAGGTGCAGACTGCTTGGTTGGGGTTCTCAAGATTATTGTTGGAGACTTTCTGTGGCATGATTTATGATCGTGCGCAATACCGTACGTACATTCGTTCTTTGTTTTCAATTATTCCCTAAATCTCCCTTTACGTTTTTCTTTTCTATACCTAACCTTTTTAATACTACAATTACTACGACTACCTCTACCATTCTTGGATTTATCCCGATAATTCTATCTCGTTGTGTTAATCTGACATGGTAACTTGAACCTAGGCATGCGTCAGGTTCTTCGTTGAATATGACTGACTCACCTAAAGATGCTGAAACTTTGTGTAATCATTGAAAGATAGATGACAGTATATAATTAGTTACCTAAAACAGTCAAAATATTATTTGATTATTAGAGAGCTATGGATAGATTTTACCGGAAAGTCGACGTTTTACCAACCTTAATCCAAAAGCACTTATAAAAGTTAATGCAGGTACTCGAAATACACATTCCAACTTACGTTTACAACAGGTTATTTCATGCAGTTGATTTCTAGATCGAAATCTTTACAGTTAAAAACTAACATGGTTGGGCTCCCAGACTTTGAGCTTACATTTTATACTTATCATAATAAACAGCTTTATATTTCAGTTAAACTACGTTTAAGTATGGAAAACAACACTAAGACTTATCTCAACAATTATAATAATTAGATTCATCGCACTGATGAGAAGAGACTTTAGTTCTTTCAAATCAGTATTTTAATACATTACTTGTCCTTATTCAAACTAGTTGAGAAATAAGCTTGCATAAAACTAACAGTGATCGTGGAATATACTTGTAAAAAGGAGTACAACTAAGTTCACTCATTAAGTTTATCTTTTATGTACTCAGCATTTACACATTTCTTGTTAGTAGTAATAATGGCACCCGGCAGATCAAGTTGAATTAAGTGCAGCAGGATTAGAATCTGAAACCAACTAGATGGGTAAATTCTCTGGCAATTAAGCCACCGCTATGTTGAGGTGTTCAACATTGAGACTTACTATAATTTAGTTGGTCTGTTGTGCAGTGCACTCAGAAACCTATGTTTTACCAAAACTAAGCTCCTTTATACATCTCTAATTATGATCTCGCCATTTTTTCCAACTTACCAACTTATCGGTTTGAATAGATGTTTAGGTAACACGTAACTTAAACGGATAATGAAGGATGCTTTTACGTGACCAACCGTGACGTAATGGATAAGTGCAAATTATTGTCAATGTATAGCACAACCCTACTCGGTAGCCTCTACACAAAATCGAGACCGAAATTCTGTTTACATCCACCCATTGTGAGTCACTTACCTCAAGGTTGAGCTCATAATAGTTCATAACGTAACAGATGATTGGTTAGTTAAGAACCGAAGTTCCAAATATTTTTGTGGTCAAAAATCAAAAGAAATACGAACGTCGGACGAATTGATCAAAATCTAAAATATAAGCAAATACAAATGATCTAAAATTGTCTCAGACATAACAGCTAATACGAAAAACTAGGGGTAAAAGTATTCGTGAAAAGACCTTTATAAAAATAGCCTGAGGATAGATGTAGTTGTTCTACTATACACATTGACTATTGTGCTCTCGTCTTCTTCGTTAGGTCCAGACTGAATTGAAACAACGTTGACCTCAGCTGATAATGACTACCCAATCCATGAAAAAACAAGGTATATGGATTATCACATAAGAGGTGCATTAATGGTTCAATCACTAGGTTCGAAGCCACTAGGTTCCGCAATAAAAACGTGCACCACATCGTTTAGTCCGAGTACCTGAATAGTATCGCTGTCTCTCACACAAAAGTGTGGTATTAATGCTTCGATCTCGTATGAAAACATGTCAATGATTAAGACACTGTAGCAGACAGTAAACGTAATGGACGCTACAATATCAGCCAGTTGACAAACAGTTAGTCGAAATATGTAGCATTCATCGAAGCATGTCTGTTATAAAAATGAAACTATACATATCTGACAACGTTATCTGCATATACTAAAACTGATTTAACTTCTTGAGAAGAAAAATAAATACGGTTTTTGATACGGTCGGTTCACAATATATGAGTGAACTATGGTCCACTAATTTATCGAGTGAGTTATTTTCTAGCATGTGATTAAGGTAGCAACTAAGTACTAGTGGATCTATACATCGAGTGAAACTGTAGTATTGGCCATTAACTTTAACTTGAGGAACGACATCAATCAAAACTTAGCGGCTAGATTAGATATGTCTAAGCAAGTCTTACTAGTGATGAAGACTAGATGGATGAACACCCCGTCGGCGAGCAGTTATCATTAATATATCATAGAATTTTCTTAATGAGTGTGAACACCTTGAGACTTCCGAGAATAGAGAACTTATCGGTAAATTGAGTGAAGATCCCGAACTTGCGTTAATTTCGGGAAAATGAGACAGAGGAAACCTTAAATTTGCTTAGGCTTAGGATTTTTACTCAGAGTTTACCTGAAATTGATCAATTTAAATTGATAAATGTGCCAAAGTTGGGAATTTGTGGTCCCTTGACCAAGGTACAAAATGTAAGTGACCATGTGTCTATTGTGCATGAACTTCAGACGGAATTTATTTTTGATCGATAAAATTACCCGATGCTGGACTGGCTTTTGCAAAACGGAAGCAAGGAGTAACAGTCGAGCAACGATAGCTCAAATAACAAACGACCTTGATAGGTCATTTAATTGGTTCAAATGGTTGTAGACGGAATAGAAAAAGCTTTCGCCTAACAGGCTTCCGTGTCTAGAAGCAGTGGACCACCAATACCTCCAAGCAGGAGCTTTGTATATTAGATTGAGAAGACGGTTCCAGAGTGTAAACTACAGATGCACGCCCGAAGCATCAAACGTTCTTGAACACCAAGCGGCTCATTTAGTTTTCGAAAAAAGGAAAATCTTCAACATCTTTAGTCGTAGTCCTCACTAAAGGAGAGGATAGGTCGGCAAACCTGGCCTAATCTTCGCAGCTCATTTTCCAGTGAACATCCAGCTACTCCTTGGAAATATTAACTGATGGAGCCGACACTACTTGTTCGGTTAAAACATTTCAGCCAGTGAACACTCAAGTGAATCAAATGGTTCTGGAAAGAATAGAAGAAGCTTTCGCTTCGCGATCCTCTATATCTAGTAGCAGTGAATCACCGATGCCTTGTGGTAAGAACATAGGTATATTTAAATGTAAAATGGTTCAAATGGTTCAAATTGTTGTGGATGGAATAGAAGAGGCTTTCGCTTAACAGGCTTCCGAGTCTAGTAGCAGGGGATCACCAAATCCTCCATGCGGGAGCCTAGGTATGTTAACAATAAAACAGGAAAAGATATTAGTAAATCGTAGTGCGATACTATCCTTAGTCCTTAAGGATAGATCAAGTTGCCTTTTAAAAAACTCCTGGTAAATCTCTTGCACTAGCTCGACCGGCAGCAAATTTCAGCATCTGACAACTCTTAGGGAGAAGAAGTTTTGCCTATAGTTCGTTTTGCTTTGTTTTGTCTACAGTTTTTGGGTGTTACCTCTTAGGTTAGTGTTGGAACTAAGCTTAAGTAGGTGTTCGAGAGGATGTCCAGAAGTGTTAATTATACTGTAAGCCATCAGAAGGTCACCTTCAAGACGCCTATACTATAATGAGTAAAGATTAAGTGATTGGAGGCGCTCTTCATAAGGTTTAAATTTTAGTCCTTTGACTGATTTCGTGGCTCGCTGTTGGATACACTCGAGAGCGTCCTTGTCCTTTTGGAGTTAGGGAGGAAATACTATGTTTCCGTACTATAAATGGGGACGGATAAAACTATTGAAGATTATATGGAAAGTTCTTCCATTAAAACTGGTCAGAAATGTGCTTCAATGTTACTAGTGAAAAATTTGCTCGGAAGGCATTTTTGTCACAGTTAGCGTAAGACTTTAAATCGTAGAGCACCAGGACTCCTAAATCTTTTTCGACTTGGAATACTACTAGAAAGGAGTTACCTAAAGTACACCTGCAGTCTGTGACATGTCACAGATGGACTACTTTACACTTTGAAGTGTTAAAGGTAAGTCTGTTATCGTCTGCCCAACTTTGAAGTCGAGTCAGATCCTCCTGAAGTGCCTTTATATCGTCTTGATTGCGTATCTCTCTCCAAAGTTTCACGTCATCGGCGAAACGTAATAAGTCTGACGTTACCTGTTGAGGAAGATCATTTATGTAGATGAAGAAGAGAAGAGGTCCTAGTACTAAGCCCTGTGGGACCCCACTAGGACATTGCATAGCCTGAGATAAAGTGAAGTTAACCGTGACCTTAAAATATCGATTTTTCGGATATGAAGTGAGCCAATCGATTAAAGGTGGTTTGACACTCAATCGTTTAGGCTTATTGATAAGACATGTATGGTTAACCTTATCAAAAGCTTTTGAGAAATCTAGGTAGATTATATCAACCTTCCCCTTGTGATCGAGGATGCTTGTCTATCTGTCCACCGCAGTCAGCAGGTTGCTTATACAAGAGTAACCCTTTCTGAAACCATGCTGTTGGAGTGAGACGAAACTTAAGGACAGTAGATAGTCATTTATACCATGGCATATCAGGGACTCCATAATTTTGAAGATATGGAGAGATGGGCCACCGGTCGGTAACTTGAAGTTTCACCGCGTCTACCTCCTTTGAAAATTGGTGTGATGTGAGCCAGCTTCCAATTTTCCGGTAGTTCTCCTCGACTTAGCGAGTGTGAGAACATCACACCAAGCGGCGTTACCAAGATTGTGGCTGCTCCCCTCAGTATGGCGGAATGGACCATATCCGGGCCAGGAGAAGTGTCTAATCTTAAGTGCTGCAGTTTCCGGAACACCAAGTAAGCGCTTCGGAAAGTCCTGTGGAATTGCAAACGAAACTGTCATCAGTAAAGTTAATGTCGGTCGATTGAATACCGAGATCGTGCCAGGATACAAGCTTGGTTACTGAGCGTAACCGGATTCGCGCGAGGTCGCAATCTAAGTAAATATAATGGATGTTTTTAGCACAGTTAAACAAAGAGCACATTAAAACAGTCACTGGTACAATTGGTTATAATCATTATTGTTTTCATTAAACCAATCGTGTTCTCGTGATAAAAATAAGTAACTACAAGTTCTTCGTGACCGTAGTGAAATGTGATTCGTTAGATAAATCGTAGAAAATGTTTTTGACCGTAGAACAAAGGACAATCCACTCAAAACGGTTAAAAGCGTTTGGTAAAATAGTTAGGATTTACCAAAACTAGCCTTGATGTATAAAAATACAAAGATCAACTAGTAAGTGGAAGCAAAGGCATAGTTAGTCATTAATTTGGGTAAAACTCAAAAAGAAATTTAATCCACCAAACGTTAAGCTACTGAAGATATAGGGGTCTTATATACGATTTGTTATGAGATATTTTTCTTTCAGCTGGGAAAAATTAGCACCTTCCAGTCTTCCCTTAAAAGGGGCACCGCAATGTTTAAAAACATGTTCACCATCTTGGCACAATCGGTAGACGTTTTCCTTGAATTTAGTATTCTAAATCATCTTGGTATACGTTAAGTGCAAAATATATTGTCGGTTATAGTATTGGCAGCTTTATGTAGTGCCCTTCAGATGAATAAACACTGCTTAGTATTCCGATGTCTCCGATACTTTGGAATTTTGGGCTTAGATGATCCATAAACCACCACTTTACTTATTTATCACCGATACAGGAATGATTGATTATCCTCAGATTGTTTTGAACTTAAACGCTGAGTACTATCTGAATGCAATGATGTGAGACAGTGTTATAATGCTTGTAATATTAAAACCAGATGTCACTCCTAGGTTCACAACGTTTTATTTCAAATTGTTCAGAGATGTATATACCGAAAAATGTCAAGGGGAATTTATAGTTAGGAAAGTTTCATGATTGTTGTGTTGCCTTTTGCGAGTGGTTATAGTTCTTGAAGAAAGTTACCCAGTGGGTAATTCGAAACGTGGCAGTTTTTAGATGGTTTCAGCTCAATTTTATCCCTTGCAAATGAGGGCCTAGGTATTTGATGTGATATAAATCAAAACTTAAATCCACATGATGATTTTTGCGTGACATATTCAAAATAAGCCGTAAGAATGAATTTTTTATTCAACTGTGTTATACTGAATAAAAGCTAGATTTATACGACTCTGTAATTGGCACACGAATAGGGGTTATCAGATGATTTGAAATATAGACTGAATGGGATTGATCACCAATAATATCACGGTACTAGTGTAACAACAGGAATTCTAATATGTGATCTGAATGCAGAGGACGATCCAAAGAATGAAAACTTATTTGATTGACCTTAACTATGTTCTTTTGCATAGATCGTGAAGACTTTTGGAATTATGCACAATAAATCTCATTAAAACACAAGCTTTATGAATAATTTAAATAGTTCGAATTTAACAAGGATGATAAATTATATCAAAAGGGCGAAATAAATCAAAATCACAGCTTGCACTATGTATTTAAAAGTACTACACACAGAAAGATGGTTAATAAATAAGCGTTATGTACTCGAAAATCAGTAACATTATTACCAACATATTGGGATCAAATATGCATTTGAAAGGATCCGAAATCGCGTTTCCAGAAGGCGCCCAAAGGTTTTCAGTGATCATCCACTTCACGTTGTAACTTTGAGTTCGGGCAAACACTAGCTTGTTGTCAATTACCCGGCATTATGAGCATGATCAGAAATGGTTAGGTTCTTTGACGAACGTCTGGGTGGATTGTATGTCTTTTTGACTACAGGTATGCCATATAACTACATTAATCTTCCATCCACAAGTGTGTCTTAAACCTGATATTCATAAACCAACGACAGTTGAATTCTTTATTAAAAATTCGCTCGCGATTTGTGTGATCAGGACTTGAAGTTGCACCTGGACTAAAAAATAGGAAACGTGTCCGCGATTTTGTAGCATATCTGTTGATATAATACAAATGAGGACTTAAAATACTTATTATATGGTTATAGATATGGTTTTGGTAAGTTATTTCACTCAGAGTTTACCCGAGAAGAAGCTTCTGTCATCTGAAACTTAGACTTTCACGTGTGATGGATATAAATAACGAGGGAGTAAATAGTCCGCAGGGCTCTTCAGAAGTTATTGCGTTTTGTTATTGGAAGTGAAGCGTCTCTTCAGCTTTCCCTGAGTTTTGTTAGCAAGAGGACTTTCACTTAATGGTAAATGACTGACAATTAAAGTCCACTGAATGTAAAGATAAGTTTCTGGCATACTGCTCATATTCTCCATGTTTACCTTAGTGTATTTGTACTTGAAGTCATTCTATGAATCATAAAAGGATACCGCGAATATTCAGGTATGACAGCGCTGTTATCCGTAACACCTTTATGATCGAGTATCACAAAAACAACCGAAAAAGAAGTGAAGAATGAGGAAGTTCGGGGATATATTTGGGAGGTCGCCGATATGTTAAGAAGTGTATGAGCTAAGCTGACTGGTTGTTATACGAATGAACATTTTGGGATCATGCCTTATTATAAACTGATTTCAGCTTATGTAATCACATACTTCATGTATCAGTGATTTAGCTATAGATTCGTCTGCACAAATAAACTCAAGAAATAATCGTTTCTACACAGAGAATTGTTGCCACTTCAATCTGTTATAAGCTATTTAAGAAAAATCATAATAGTTACATAATACGGGTCATACTAAT